CAACAACAAGCTTCTTTAATTGTCTTCTAAAATAATTAGTTATTAATAAAAATTCGTTTCTAATCCCCAAAGTACCAAGGCCAAAAAGTTTTTTTCTGGTAATTTCTAGATTTAAATATATGTATACATATTTTGGTTAATTAGAAACTGACTACTAGCATAGAAACATTATATATTTCAAACTAATTCTATTGTAATGAATGAAAATTTGGTGAATATGATAGAATACTTTATGAAATTATGAAAACTATACATTTTATACTTTAGTTGCAAAGCTTCCATTAGTTGTTTTTTTCTCTTTTACATTGTTCATGAATCTTTTTTTAATTCTCAATTCCTTCATGTTCTTTTTTTCTATTTTCTTCAGTTTAATCTTTTCAACTTTCTTTTGATAAGGGTTTTAGTTTTGATCTATGTTACATATTACTTATATCTGTCAACATAATTAGCATGAACTACACTATGAATGTTGAAAAATGTAGTTTATCTTTTGAAGGTAAACGCACAGATAAAATGGATCACAAGGTTAAGTGCTATGTGTTTGGAACACCGACCAAACTACAAAGAATGACAGCATGTTTGTACTGAATATATATATATATATATATATATATATATATATATATATATATATATATATATATATATATAACAATCTAAGTTAATATTTCGTTTTTTTAAGAACAACCATGTTATATTTTTACGATTATAGTAATGAATTCAAGTATTTATTATTTTATCTTGTTACCCTATCACCTGCACAAATTTAGTATTCATGTGTCATACATTATAATCTGATTATTGTCTTTATTTGACGTGTTTTATTCTAAATACTCCATCAACTATGACTTCTCAGGTGTTGTTATAATTTACAGTTGTATATAACGATAAGTAGTTTAAGCAATCTACTATATTGCAAGGTTTTCCTAACTATCAAACTCTTGAAAATAATCACTAATCGTTGCTGATTATTAAACTATTTGTTGGACTTATTTCAAATTTTCTAAAAACCGGCTGTTAAATAATCAAGTACTTAGCCCATACACTCACCCACTACCTGTGTATACTAACTTGTTAATTGAAACTGTTGGTCACTTTATTTGTGGTGTTAATATTGTAGCACATTTCCTCACATTCATCGGAAAAGAAGTATATAGCTTATTAAAACCTCTGGCTTTACCGAAAAAGCCCATTTTGCTTTCTTACACAGCTCTCAAGGAACTACTACTAGACTATGTTCAGTATACAAATTTCGAATGTGGTAACGGAGGAAGATCTAGTAAAATGATTCATGAGGATATAAAAAATTCCAGTGCATACTCAAGGTTATGCAGATAATTCATTGAGAAGTTGCAATGCAGTTCACGAAGATGGGCACAAGTTTGGTCGATGTTTGTCCTGTGGCAGGTTCAACTCTTTTAATTTATGTAAATTTCGTAATTCAAAGTGCTTTAAATGTGGTGATATTGGACATACTCAGTCAGTTTGTAATACTACTGTACATCTTGCTGCAACTAATATTTAGTCTTGTAATTCTGATTCAATTAAGTTCAGTATTTATAATGATCATTTATCTTTACCAACGATTTCAAAAGACAGTGTAGAGTCATATAGCACTTCAGAGTTAAATGAAACTCAGAATTCTTACGAGACAACAGTTTCTAATCAATCGATTGATCAGATTTCTCATGTTATTGTACCAGATATGGTTTTTCCTAATGATTCACTTAATTCTGACGAAATTCCTTGCAAATCTGAGGAAAATATGTTGAATGAACCTAGTCATGATTGAAAACCTGATGTAGTTTTGATAGATGCTGATTTTTCTAATGATCCTTTACTCTACAATGACACTCTTAATAAATTTGAGGAGACTATTTCAGAAGAAACAAATCTTGATGTTCTATCAAATATTATTTGTCCTCATAATGCATTTGTTTCTTGTGGGAAACTTGTTCAGTGCGAAGCACAAGTACTAAATGAGCTCGATTTTGATTACAATCCGAATGATTTCATATCAACTGCTGTTTATCCTTATCACGAAGTCACTTCCAATGTTTACTCTAGTCAATATGAAAAATATGCTTTAAATGAAGTCACACCATTCATAACTTGGGGATATAAAGATCCAACATCATTTCGTGGGGGAGGATAGTGTTGGGAAATCTGTGCTTTAAATTCTAGATAGTGGTTTCGGTACACAACCGACACGACGATTGTATATAATCCCAGGAACCAAGTGAGTCTGTCCCGATTTCGGTTGTTAATTCCAATGAGTACATTCTATATAATACTGAGTTTTTATCCAATGCAATGTCGGACGGACACAGGAAGAACTTAAGAAGAAGACGTACAATCGATTACAGACACTTATAGTCTAATTTAAGCTGTGGCGGATGTGGTATTTGAATGAACTAATGATTCCTTTGTACTTGTTGAATGCTTGATTCCGAATTCCAAATACAATACATTCGTTCGTGCTTATCTAGTACTTCTTGATCTGATTACGTTACTTCTGGGATTCTTAGTTCGTACTATAATTCGAATACTCCAAATCATCATAATTTGTTTGCCTGGTTCACAGATTTATGCCTGCTTATTATTTGCGTTTTTCGCTGATATTCAAGACTATATTTGGTCGGTTTTTCTTTATCATACGTTTCTTGATATTGCTTAATTTTGAAGATTGTCTTTTCAGTAATGGCTAACATAAGTTGGTAGTTATTGTGATTGAGAAATCTAATGTATAACCCAGTGTCGGAAGCGATAAGTGATGAGTTTCAGTTTCATTGTGGACACCAACACTGGGATTAAAGAAGACCCAGCTGGTGAGCCCCAGAAACGAAGAAACGCATGTGTTATTCAGTGCCTAAAGTATAACTAATTTATAAGATGAATATTTAAATAATACAATATATAAAATGTCTATGCAGGTAACAAAAGAGTAATTGAATCAAGCCAATATGCTCATATTACTGTAATTTATCTAAAGGGATAGTATAATGGTGTAAAGTTTGTAACGTACGGAGATTTTTCACATCAGGAGCTGAATTTGGCTAGAGATATAGCGGGAGCTAGAAAACAGTAGTTTCACACTAACTTTAAGACTCCTCAGCAATCTATATCCCAGACAATGCCATGAACTAAACGCGAGGCACACAGTTCTCGTAATATCTTTAGACATTTGAGTTGAAACCCAATGTTTCAGATCTGCACCTTCAATTATTGAGCAATACTACATGAAAGCCGTCGATTGTAACTAACGATATTCATCTTAAATCCATAGTTGAACTTCACACTAGAGCTACGAATTATTTTTGAAGTTAGTCACTGGTAAGCTCAGAGTTATTACCTGAATGGGAGGCTTGTGAACGGAACAGATATCTAGTGCCGCGTAATTTCGCAGTGTTTTCTAGGTGATATCATAAACAAGTAGTGATTACTTCAGTATACTCGGTTAGTGGAAAACTCAGAAATATACATTCTTTATATATGTCTATTTATTCCAATTTTTTTTCATTTTGAAATAGAACTCATTTCTGTTTCAGAAATAAAGTTAAAATTAAATTTCACAATTCCCCAATGAATATTCAATTTTTTATATAAAATTATTTTAAACCAGTCCACGAAAGTTGTTTGAACTAGCTCTTTGTTTCAGAGTTTTATGAAATACAACTAGGCTTACAGATAATTATAAGTAATTAGATGAATTATTCATACCAACCAGCCAAAATGATTCTAGGTATTTTTAATCTTTTATACCTTTCACGGATAGGAAATAAATTTGTTGAATTAAAAGTTTGTTCATAAACAGGATGAAGTTTGTGCTATTACAAGGGTTTTGGACGTGTTTTGATTGTTAGTGTTATAAATGGTACTAATCAATAGATGCTACACACTGACACGGTGTGATCAACTAATAACAGGTTATCAAACAGAATTATTGATCTAAATGCTCAATCGGAGTGATATTAAAAGATCTTTTGCAAAATAAGATATCCTCTACTAAGCAGCAGACAACTTACACTTCTCGATCCCAAAATATACCGTTCCTTAATGTACGAAGTCATCAAAGCTTGATATGTAATAGACGTCATTTGTTTTAGCTGGTGGGCAACCTATGCCCTTCCACGAGGGGTAACGAACGTAAGTCATTTGTTTTAAATTTTAGTCTAGATGGGATTTTCTTAATTTTGTAATACAAAAGTGAACATCTGATAATGTGCTTTACGTAACAGCTTTTATTTTATTAACTTGTAACTATAATGAGTTATTTTATAGTAATACTAGTCGGTGTTACAATTCTCCTTTTGAAATAGATATTGTTCTGGTGAAAATTGGTTTAATAGAACTCTGAAGTCAATAGTGACTGAATTGATAAATCGGAAATGGAACTAGTTAATAAGTCGTAACTTGGAATATATTAGAAAAGAAAGCTTTACTCTATAACTAACTGAATAAACTAAGGAAATTAGGTTGTTGTCCATTGCAAAAACAAGGATTAAATCTTCTGTTCCTCTATTAATTCAGTGGAAATTCCGTTTCCAGGAGTAAGGGTTTAGTGAATAGAAACGTCACATTTAATGATATCAATAAGTTATTTTGACTACATTATTAACAAGTTCAAAGGAGCCATTTACACTATCACAACATTTTTTAGACACATATTAATCACTTAACTGTAGCATGATAGGCGAAATTACTCATATCTAAAACAGGTTAAGGAGCCAAGAAATATTTTCATGTATTTCAGCCAGACTGTACAATCTTAGTGTTATTCTCTCTAAATGCTTCAACATTTTGGGAAATCGTTTCGAAATAAAGCCCTGTTGTTTAAATTTTTAGTGAGTCTATTAGCTGTTTCCAAATTATTGTCGGTCACATGATACCTTAATACCAGTTTAAAAGGGTCATCATCTTGTTTAAACAAGCATTTTTATCCATTTACTAACGTTCCTATACTTGAAACAATGGACTTTGTTTTCAGCGAACTAATAGCGAGACGTATAGAAAACTTTAATTATCGTTTCTGAAATAAAATAGTTGGTTTATAGGTGTACAATCATTCCCCGTTTTTGATCTAACAGTGATAATTATTTTAACCAAATGTAAAATGTATTTCGAATCTCAAACGATGATCGCATAGAACAAAAAACACATATTATAAATATAAAAAGTGCTCTGGATGCAAGTCATATAACAAGGATGTTTGGATGCAGTAGTTTACGATAAAAGTCCTAAGTAAATTGATCTTGGATATTTTGTCTTCAATTCTGGCCACTGAACGATTACATCTACTAAACGAGTATAGTATAAAATTTTTCCAGATAATGATAAAGTTTTGGTACGACAAATACTTTCAACAAAAATTATAAGAGTTGAATGAATTTTTAGTACCTGTTGATGACAAAAAGAGAAAAGCAGCAAACAATATATAAAGAATCACATAAACAAATTACAGTTTCCTTTAACGATCAGTATATTAAACGTGAGAAAAACTGAAACGATGTTTGGAATTCCGAGTTTATGGTGGTTCCTTTAATAGATTAGTGTGGATAGGACGGTTTATGAAAAGCCTGCCAATACATCACTACTCTACCAAGTGACACTAGTCATCAAGTTATCAAAGGAAAAAGAAAACGAAGTAATGACTACGGTAACACAAAATAGTATCATTGTATTCCCCAGTTTTTTATCTTATTCTATGTGCTTTTGGTGTACTACAATTTTAAGTGATTAGGTATTTCGTGATACTACATTTCTAGATCTGTTTGACAAATACCCTAAGTAAAACTATTAGGAAATAAATAACATTTATCATATTTAATAAATGCAATTTCAGATTAAGGATTATGAACTGCAGTATGGTTATTTAACTGGATTCACTAAATCAGTTTTCAGAATATAACTCAGTGTATATAGTCTATGAAAATTAGACGAATGGATACCATCAGGTAACAATTTTGGCTTTTAATAAGGTATGAAAATTCAGACTTCCCAGTTGGATCTTAGTTAATTATTCCATGTATGAACAATTTATTGCTGAGAAATAAAAATGAAAGTAGCATCTCAAAACCTCTTTAACTAAACCTACAATCCTACTGAGTATGAACGTTTTATGTAGGCCAAAACTTTTCTGATCAAAAAAGCAGAAAAGATGGATATCATGGACAACCTACTTAAGTATTTTTTATCACATAAATTTTATGGGCGAGAATGAATTCAGTGTAAAGTTTCGATTTTAAAACTTTTTACAGTAGGATGAAAGTGCAAAAATCAGGGAAACAAGAGCGCAGAAGGTCATCCGCTTACGGACCACATCCTTTGCTAAAAGGATGACATGCCAACATTAAAAGCAATTAAAGTGCACACGAGCAAACACATTGTACTAGTTAACTGGGTTTTATAAAAATACTTGGTAGAACCTAAATATTTCTTATTATTTCAGAAGAGTGGAGACTTGTTATTCTTGAATGATTAAGTTTTACACAATAACATCTTGCCGACTGCCTAGGACAATTTTATCACTTGATTAAGCTCCATTATTGCGAATGACCAAACTCGTGACAGTTTATTCATTTATTTAAACACATAAACATTGATACAAGAAGACACCAAACATATATGAGCCACATTTCCTTAGTCGATTTGTGTGAGGGCTAGAATACTGCCCATGTACCCAAACCGAAGCAGATGGGTTTTTAGGGGGCCACTTCCTGAGCCTTTCACCTAGAGGTCTAATCCACAGAGCAGCGGAGCAACGTTAGGAGATTAAGTCCCATGGGAGCCGGTGACCGACAACAGTTTCGAATACCCCTTGTTCTCTCAGGATCCTGGAACCCATGTGCACCAGTTGTTTGGAATCAGGGTTTTCCAACTCCCCTACGTGGATTCTACGTACCCACCAACCAGGTTTTTCGTCCTCTCGATTTCGTAGACAACAATCTCACCGCGAGAAGGCAGTGAGTAGGACTTCCCTGGCAGTAGCTGTATACGCGTGGTCATATGAGAGCATTTTGAGATGGAGAACTGACTCTCCCGACCCTTAGTTGCACCACAGCATTTGGAGGCAACTCATAACAGAGCTATGCGGGTTGTTAAAAGCTGGTTACCAAGATGACCAGATCTGCGTGATACGGGTATTTCTGTAAGATACTCAGAGTCATCTACAGTAGTTATCAACACCACAACAACAACGTAGAGATCCAAGAAATAACAAGTGCATGTTACAGACAATCATTAAAGTGATTCAAAGTTACTTGTAATAGTCAAGCTTTTTTGATCTAATATAAAAACACAAAGTACATAGATGAAAAGTAAGTTCAAGTACTCGATATAATACGGCAATCAGAAACATGAAATATGACTTTCATTAGGATGTGTCACAATTACTAACTGATAATATATTAAATCATTATATTTATCTTACGTGGAGTAAAATAGCCACGAAGCATATGGGGATACATGTCCCAGGACCATTGCACAAAATCTACGTGAAATGCAGATTGTATTAATGATTGAGTATATAAATGAGTTGATAACAGTCTTATGAACAATAAAAGCATATACAACGGGAAGTACCAGTTTGAAGAAGATATATGTGCTTAAATATATTAAGTTTACAAGGATTATAACAGTTTTTAAATCTCAAAATGAATAAATAAATAATAATATCATCAGGAACTGAAGCGTCCCGTAGAAAAAAAAATACAATTTAGTCACATACTTTTTTGTTGATCTATGCAGTAACTATCCATGTATTGTCATAATAAGGATAAGTGATCGCACTGAACTACAGTTTGTAAGTCATAATCGTGTGGAAGTTAAATTTGGTCCACATTACGAATGATGACTTTTATTTAATCAACTAGTACCTATTTAATCATAGCAGTTAGCTTAAATTAGCGGCCCAATTCACTTTTGTGATCTACTTGACTGAGTTGGCTAAAAAATTTGTTCCTAGAGGTCTTCGCACAACAGAATCAGTAAACAAAAGGCAGAACAGTACGAAAGAACTAATAACAAAATTTTATGGCAGTGAGTTATATCTGACTGTACTCATTAACTGATATCAACAGTTTATAAAATCGGAAAATGGATTACTTATTACTCATTAATGAATGCATGCAAGATTGTCATTAGTAATATGGCTTCCCTCTAAATTTGATATATAGGTTGTCAGTAATCGATCACATCTATCTTTAAGTCATTGCTTGATTATGGTGAGACAACAGAGTAAGGTGACTGAGATATGTAAAGCACACTCAAAACTCCAATTGCATTATTCATTCTTGTCTTTTTACTGAACGAATAAAATGTAGAAAACCAAGTGTCGAACATTACCAAAGAAACATTTAGTAGTCACATTTTTTTAACCTACTACAGAAGAAATATAGCGGAGTTTATTTGAGCTGAAGACAATATTGAGCTAGTAAAAAAGACTCTACATAGTGTTGGCTGGAATATTAATACTGGAGAATTCCGCCAACAAAATTACGATGATAAACATTTACATCTGGTTACTGAAAAATTATGAAGGAGAACAAAACTGTTAAAAGTAGAAGAGATGCGACAGTCTAGATACTTCGAGCTTCTAAACAATTTATATCAACCCTAAACTTGAAAAGAGTTCACGAATTCCCCTGGACTTACAGCACGAAAAATTGTTTTTGATCCTATACAAACACTCTAGAATTAAGTACAATTAGGTATCAAGTAAAAGTCCCTACAAAAATTTATCCTTCATAGAAAATCAATAACTGTATTGGGTGTTTATACTTGTCTTTCCAGAATTTCCGTGTCTTGATTTGGGAACAAGGTCAAACCATTTCTTGAGCACCATTATATTTAAGGTGAATCAACTAATAAATGGTGTTTATAATATAGGTATTCCAGTCAGTCAGCCAGTAAAAACGTAGAACTTCGTACGTACGTACATCAGTTCGAGTTGCCACATCACATTAGCACAGAGATGCCGTGGTCGATTCAAATCCCGTAGTGGTAGAGGTAATAAAAGTATAAGCAGTAATCGAAAAGATTAGTGTTTGGAGATGTTACTTAAAGAGTATAATACAGTGAAATAAACTTGGAAAGAGAAAAAAGAGACAAGGGGGAATCAGGAGATCAAAATTTGGGAGAACATAAAGCGTGGATGCACCTGCGCCATTGCAAACGATTTTGCAATATAGGTATTCCACAAAAAGTCGTAAATTTGCGAGGTTTGAAGTAAATTAATGTGGCATTAAGTACAATACTACACTTAAGCCAATGATTAAAGGTGCGTTTTGGCAAAAGCACACGGGTTTACGCTAAACGTAGTAAGCATTACAGTTACTCATAGCAAATCAATGACCTAGGAACTTGAAAAGTTCCGATCCTTTCCGGCAACAAATAGTTATGCCAATGAATACGTTACTCCAGTGTTAAGAAGGATCTAGCCTTAGCACTCAGTTAAAATATTAGTTTACATCGACCATTATGTGTGAATGTTAATAAAGGTTTCTGTAACTCACCAATTTCGCCCTAAAATTGGTGACGATGGGGAACGCAGATAGACAAGACATTAAGGTACTGAAGATGCTGCTAGCGTATGACTGTTTTACTTCACGAGCCCTTGGTATGCGCTTTATGCTGAACTAGAGATTTTTAATACAAAACTGAGACTAACTTTAATATCACACTTGTCCCCTAAATCCAAAACCTTTTGTTCACTCATAGAATCAGTTGTCGCAATAACATACAAACGTGGTTGAAATTTGCGAGTCAATACAGAAGTATATGAGAGCATTTCAGCAGTGTGTCCACCTAACATAAAGTATGAAATAAACATTACCAGATCCTAAGACAATCATAACCCTATTCATTGCTGGATCATCACACTTGGCTTTGATATAAAAATACACATACGCAGTCACCCACAAAATTGGTATTATCCAAAACATCTGTGCATATAGTTAACTGGCCAAAATGATATACCATTCCTCATAACTAAATACGCTTATAGCTGATGACCTTCTTATTTAATTTTTGGCGCTTTACAATTGCTTACAAAGATAATAGTCAAATGGTTCAAAATGGCCCTTGGTAGAATATAAAAAAACTTTCGCTTAACGGGCTTCTGTGTCTAGTGGTAGTGGATTGCCAGTGTCACCAGATAGGAACCTAGGTATACTTAACGATAAAAAGAGACGTGTTTGTAAATTATGGTGAGATACTGCCCCAAGTCCTTTGGAACATGTCAAGTTTGTTCTTAAGAGACTCTTGATAAATAGCTTGAACTGCTCCGGCCGTTTAAGAATTCCAGTATTTGACTATTCTTAGGAAGTAGATGTGCCTGCAGTCTGTTCTGCTATGTTGTTTCTCTAGTTTCTGGGTGTTACCCGTAATGTGTATGTTGAAACCGTGCATAAGTAGGTATTCAAAAGTGTCTAGGAGTATTCAGGATGCTAGAAGAATAAACGTGCAATATTCTGGAAATCGTCAAACACAAACTTTGTTCATTAAAATACGTGACTCATTGTTATAAAGATTTTGAGTTATGTGACCTACAGGACGTTGAGACTTAGAGGTCTGTTTCAATATCTGCTCTGTAAACGACGTCTTGAGAGCATCTAAGTCCTTAGTCTACTACTGTATGTAGCCTAGATAACACTTCTCCATTTATGGTAAGTTCTAGGTTGAGGGATGTATCGCCGAAGCATATCCATCCACATTGAGCCGTATTAAGCACCAGTTGCCATTTCAAGAACCACTGTGCTACCTTGTTAAGCTCCATGCTGATGCAGTTTTGCGTGTTTTTCAGCTCATGCGGAGAAAATGAATATACTTCTTTAAGATCATCTGCATATAGAAGGGGCTTTCCCACACAACAACATTCACAAATATCATTGGTAAACACTGAAAAGAACAAAGGGCCTAAGACACTACTTTGTATCACACCACTTCTAACATGGACAGCGTTAAACAATGGGGAGTCAATTTTAACTATTTGATGTCGACTGCTGAGAAAGGAGTCAAACAATGCTAGCAAAGGATTTCGAACCCCAGAAGATGATACAGGTATTCAGTGTTTGACAACGCTTTTACTAGCAGCACCTTCTAATATAAATTGTACACACCGAGAGAAATCAAAAGACAGAGTCGAGGAGATCGGAAGAGTGTATTTGGCGATTACCGATATATCGGAATTCTCTCATCTAATCTAACTAGCGATTGCGATAGATGTTGAGCACAGCGTTACCACACGTGATCTGGTGCGGATGCATGACGAGCGCCTTCAGCTAGATGAGTCCACTAAAACATATGGTCAGCATCCAATGTCGAACACTTACAGAGCTATTTAGTTTGGGGATTTATTTACCGCTACAGATCACTCCATCCCTAGCGGGGCAGTGATGATGGCCAGCCAGAAGTTTAAACCCAACGAATTTGTCGTTGGTAAACACTCTTCTGATAGCTTACTAAGTTTAGCAGCGTCTGGTCGTCTTTCTTTACTATATGGGACCGAGGTACAACATAGTAAAAAAAGGAAAAGTACAATGAAAATTCCGGCTCCTCGTAAACCGCATCTTTCTTTTCCAGCCGTCCTGGAAAAGAGGAAAAAAGAAAATGTAAGTGCATTTCGAAATACACTCGTATGAGCGTAAAAACGCAATGTCGGCAAAAAAAAGGAAAATAAACTCAAGCATACGTAAAAGCGTTAAAAAATTTATGTTTTTTCGTTTGTTTTTTTAAAATAAAAATATAAATATATAAGCATATTAAAGCTTTTTTTAAATATCATATATCGTAAAAAGAAAGTTCGAGATAATATAAAATGTCGAGTAGTGCCTTTCGCGCAGTAGTCGTTTAAATGTTCTAGAAACCTTATTCTTCTTCCAGAACTTGTCGTTTTAATTTTATTTTCGGACACATTCGGAGTGTCATCGCTAGTGGTGGTTGTTGGTTAAGGAATTATGAGTGTAGGAGTCGTGTTGTGCGATTGTACCGAAGGAAAATCGACGTGAATAGGATTTCCTTCTAAATACGCTGCTTATAAGCGATCGATGCCGATGCTATCGTTGGTTCCGTTCTTATCGACTATATAGTACTCAGATTCACGTTGAAGAACTTTGAAAGGTCCTTCGTATGCTGATTCGAATGGTCGTCGATGTGAGTCTCGACGAACGAAAACGTGTTTACTATATTGTAAGTCAGGTTGAACGAAAACTTCGGTGGATTGTGGTGGTGTGGAATCAGGTTTAGCTGATTGCATTGCGTTTGTAAGCCTGTTCGTGTAGGAGGTTAGATCCATGCTCATTAAAGAGGGTGAAGGATCCACAAATTCTCCTGGAAGTCGAAGTGTTGTTCCATAAATGAGTTGAGCCGCAGTGTATCCTATGTCAGCTTTCACTGTATTGCGGATACCTAGTAAAACGAGTGGAAGAGCGTCGGTCCACTGTGAAACGTTTGCAGCTGATAGTGAAGCTTTTAGTTGTCGGTGAAAACGTTCTACCAACCCGTTTGCTTGTGGGTGGTAGGCGGTCGTTTGGAAGCGAGTGCTTCTTAATAGTGTGGTCAGACGACGGAAAAGTTCAGACTCAAACTGATGTCCGCGGTCTGTAGTGATGGGTGATCCCTACCTGTAGATGTGTCACAAAGTAAGGTTTCTTTACCTGTTCCCAACTGTTTGATGCGTAGTTTAAGGGTTGTAGACGATAACTCGTGCTGAAGATCAGTGTCCTCTTTTTGAAGCTCGACGAGTTTAAGAAGGTCGATGCCTTGGAAACTGTTCAAGGAATTTATTTGAGATAAGGCGTCTGCAACTACATTGTTTGCTCCAGAGAGTTTTTGAATGTCTGAAGTGAACTGCGAAATGTAGTCCAGTTGTCGAGACTCACGGGGAGAGTACTTGTCCGAAGGTGAGCTTAACCAGAAAGTGAGCGGTTTATGGTCCGTGAAAAGAGTGAATTCACGGCCTTCGATATAGTGTTGGAAATGCCGTACAGCACAATACATAGCTAGGAGTTCCCTACTGAATGTGCTGTATCTCGACTCGGTGTCTAGCAACCGTCTAGAGAAAAATGCCGATGGTTGCCATGAGTTGTTAACCCATTGTTGTAAGACTCCTCCGATTGCCGAGTCGGATGCGTCTGCTGCGATACCAATGGGTGCTCCGGTGTCCTGATGTGCGAGCATTGTTGCTTTAGCGATCAGTTCCTTAACTGTGGAGAATGCTTTTCGTGCGGTGTCGTCCAAATTAATGGATTTCGCATTTGCACGAAGTTGGTCGGTAAGAGGTTTCATAAGTAATGCGCATTTCGGTATGAAGTGTCTATAGAAACTTACCAGGCTGTTAAACGTGCGTAATTGCTTGACGTTGGTCGGTTCTGGGTAATCCAGAATGGCCGCCACTTTGGTCCTAAGAGGTCGAATGCCTTGAGCATCGATAATGTGACCTAGGATGTCTAACGAGTCGGTTCCGAATTGGCATTTCTGAAAGTTTACAGTAATGTCATGCTTTTGTAATCGTTCGAAAACAAGATCCAGATGTTTGAGATGTGATTCTCTGTCCGGACTTGGGATTAGGCAGTCATCAACATACGCGTGTACGAAGTCGAGACCTCGAGAAACGTCGTCTATGAATCTTTGGAATGTTTGCGCAGCGTTTCTTAGACCGAAAGGCATTCGCAAAAATTCATAGAATCCGAAGGGAGTAATGATAGCTGTTTTCGGTAAGTCGTCAGTAGCCATATGGATTTGGTTATACGCTTTAACCAAGTCGATTTTCGAAAAGACAGTTGTACCTTTCAAGGTAGCTGTCAAATCGTGAATGTGAGGCAACGGGTGACGATCGGGAATGGTTTTTTCATTCAATCGCCGATAGTCACCAGTTGGACGCCAATCGTTACTGTCCTTTTTAAGGACTATGTGCAACGGAGATGCATAAGGGCTGTTTGACGGTCGTATGATTACTAAGTCTATCATGTGATCGAATTCGTTTTTCGCTAACCTTAGCTTTTCAGGAGCTAGTCGTCGTGCTTTAGAGAATACATGTGGTCCTGTAGTCGTGATGTGATGTGTAACGTTGCTGGTTACACACGGTAATTTCGGCTGCATTTGATGAATCCCAGGATACTTATCGAGTAGTGGTTGATAGAATGGGTCCATCGTATGCTTAATTGTGACTGGGGATAATCTACAACCAGTAAAAGAAGTTACGCAAACGGATAATTTAGTGTTTCCGTCTACTAGCCTCCGTTTGCGCGTGTCGATGATTAGATTATGGTGTTGTAGAAGATCCATACCAATGATTGGCATAGAAACATCTGCAACAACGAAAATCCAGTGAATGGGTTTGCGTAAACCCACGTTAAGGTAAACGTACCTTTTGCCATACGTAGCGATCGGTTTTCCATTTGCCGCCTGTAAGTTTAGAGTTGATTCGTGGAGCTGGTCGTTATGATTTGCTGGGAGGACGCTAACTTCTGCGCCAGTGTCGACGAGGTAGCGAACTCTCGTTATCACATCTGTGACGTACATTGGAATTTATATCAAAGTTTTTAAGGTCGATATGGTTACATACATACCTGTTGCAAGAGTCTACCGGGTGATCACCTTGTGCACACTTAGTTGGGGGATGCAGTACATGTCTGGGTGAGTACTCAAGATCTACTTCATCGGGCTGGCTATTGTAGGCAGGCTTACATTGACCCCGTGGGCCGCTACTCAATATGGCCGATTGTAAAATTGTTAGGTGTTTGGGGTCGGCCGAACTGTCTAAATACTGCTCACAATATGTGGTGCTCTTGTTTGGACTGACAAATGATGTCAACTCTAACGGCATGTGACTGCTCTTATTTATATCTACAAGCGAGATACAAGGTAGTGATATGTCATGCCCAAGGAAACGGTGAACGTTTAGTGTGGCTGAAGGAAGATCAGAGTAGGATGCAGACTGATCAGTGTGTTTATAAGGTTTCACATTATTCGCTTTAGTGACTGATTTAGATCTTTTGAAGGTGCCATGGGCATCAGTAGAGATTATGTTTTTTTAGATGGCCCGGACATTATTGGAAACAATGTAAATATAAAGTTTAATTACGTGAACAGCGACAATTATAATTTAACTGAATAGACGTGCACCGTTCTATGGTAGGATTAGATCCAGTATTAGTTAAGAGCAAATATATTAAGGTTAATTAGTGAAAACTAGCAAAATTAATGTATGACGTTGAGTTCCAAAATGAGGTGTCAAGTTTATAGAACCATATCAGTGACGAATAAAGTTGAAGGGAAAAACTAATAAGAAAATAAAACAGTACCACATGAAAAAAGTTACAACCTTCAAAAACACGCGCAAGTAGGCTATTATTCGCAAAGAGCTAATTGATAATTAGGTTGAATGTACTAGTTAATCTAGTCTGAACCACCGTCAAAAACCTGGAAGCACTAGACTGTCGTTTTGTCTTATTATCGGACTCCTGAGTAATGCATGTCTATGATCCTGCAAAAGGGACTCGAACTAGGGACACTCGGTCTTGTGCATGAGATCCCAACCTGTTCATCACCAAGCCAGTATCAAATAGTGTAAATGTCTAACTTCAATCTATCCATAATCTTGCACAACACCTTACGCATTGTTTGGCATGGGTAACTGCTGCACACCCTGCACGGATATTTAAGAAAATAAATCGGCAGCGCAGTACAATACAAGTTTATGTAGTAATAGTGTAGGATGATGCTATGAAGGTCCTTAATAATAGCAGAGAATTACCGTCAAATATTATTTTTGTGATTCACACACACGTGATAAAGGTAAAACGAACTCGAAAGTCCATATATTTCGATGTAATACATGATATTACGTCTTAATTATAAATCTCGGATGTTTAAGGAGAAATTTTATATACAAAGAAACGAGACGACCCATTGGTTAATATTGAAAGTATCTTCTTGGAAAGTTTTCTATCCATTTCTTTAGTATAACTCGAATCCACTTACTAAAAGGAATATTGAAATATCATTCTTATTCTGTTTGCTTTAAAGGAGTTTTAATAGAAGTGTAAATTGGATCAGATGCTAAGAATCGACCGATTCAATATGTTGACTTCAACTAAGCACATCAACTCAGTGCAGAAATTTCTCTGTCATTGAATCTCCTCAAAAGCGAAACGAAGCTCACAACTTCAGAAGATGAGCTAAAAAAGAATTTAATATAATAAGCATATTATGGTATAATAATCTTATTAAGAATACTGGTTTAGCACTTCGGTTTGACTTTACCATCGAAGTACGACAGGAGAGTTACAACGGGTCTTAGAAAATTAGAAAACTCAAGCCTTTGCGCTTTCGCTAAAAGATCCTCGATGCAGGTGGAGCAATATAAAATGATCACTACAAACAATCAAAGACCTGGGAATAATTTTATTGTTTAGACATTATTTATTAACTTTCAACAAATATAACAAGTTTGGATGTCATTTAGTTTACATACAGTGTACACACACACACTCAATTCCAACCCCACTACTTCATAATACGAATGTATGTACTTTTCATACCCACCTTCTGGAGCACAAATTAATTGGGCGACATGTCATACAAATTCACTTTGATCAAAAGCAACTTAACATTGACATACTCAAACCTATTACGACCTTGATTGTACTAAAAGTATTGTGCATTATCTCATTTGTATTGTCTAAACTCGCATCAATTTTATTTCAGTTATCCGTCCACTCTAAAAAAGTGGCTTACATTAAATCACAACAAGTCAGCAATACAACTTCTACTCACTACGATACCACTCAATATATATTTATTATTAACCTTCTGCACAGTCCCCAATTTTTCGAAATTACCAGGTTCAGTTTTAGCATCGATACCTACATCAGCCTTACACATTAGATCAGACGATACTCGATATATTTATAGCCTATCAAATGTATCTTCGAACCTCCTCACTTCTGTCTTTTGATTTCATTTAGTGGGAACGATTCATATTACTTGTTACTGGTTAAAGCGTTGTCAAACTCCGAATACCTGTGGCATCTTCACGCACAACAAATGCACGATGCAAGACGTAAAGAGAACGGACATTCAAGTTCCCATAAATATAAAGCAGAAAACCGTAGTGCTAAATAAATCCTCAAAATAAATATATCTGTAAGTCTCCACATTTAATTCTGGCTGCACTAGCTTTAATAGATTCACCTAGCTGAAGGGGCCGGAGCCTGGCCCTTCTAGGCAGAAGCTGACTTCCACTAACACAGCGAAACCGATCCACATATATAATTTCTCACAGTTGTGAAGGCATTGCCGTGCTAATTCAACAGGTAAGTCATACCGAATAGGTTCATTAGTGATATTTCGAAACCTTACGAAACTCTGAAGAGGTCTATTCTTAAACGCGGAGATCTAACCGATCGACAAAGATTAGATGAACTCCCGAATAACATCAATCTAAAACATGACTCAGCATCAGATATGTTACGAATGAGTGAGGCCACTGATCAATGGACATTTCCAGATACCAAATATAATCTTTTGTAGACATTTTACTCATATTTATGATGTCAGTAACTGTCAAAACTCCAGTAGCTTGTATTGCTCAAGTTTTTGAGGAAGAGTTTTCTGGATCGAAGATTGAGGCTGCGGCCCATTGGGGATTGATTATTCTGCTATGCGGTAGGTGGTTGTTGTTCGGAGCAGGTATTAATAATAATGACAGTTACTGCACTGATTGTGTTTTCTGTACGCATTTCCTAATCTTAACGAACGTGTATTTATATGAGTGTATCATAAGTCGATTTTGAATTTCGACTTATAATTTTTGGTTAACATTATTTCCTCTGTAAATGTTATATAGTGATCATCCAGAGCATTATTTGTTATGTTTACCAGTGTGATATCTTATTTGTTATGGTTTTAATTTATTTGATTGTGAAGTTTATGCAACATACGGTATTAATTTATTAAGTTAACGTGAATAATAGTTAGCGTGACACACAGCAGATGATTTGTCGTAACTCTGGATATTCTTCATATACGTGATTTTATTTTAATCTATAATTATAATGGATGTACAATTAATATATGATGAGTGAATTTCTGAGTAGAATCATCATCTTGTTTTGGGACTGATAAATCTTCATTTGTACCATTCTTATTGTCCTTACTTCGCGTCGTAGGAATTGCAGTGATTCCTCGTTTTTTGAACCTGAAGATATTTGCAAGTATATCATTGAAACAATGGCAATTGGTGACTTTTTGAGTAAGAGCGGTGGTAAATTTCAGCAGTTCAGGAGTATTCCGAATACATGTGTAGAAATGTACAAAGAAAACATTACGACATACCGATTATTATAGCTTAACATCAGTGATAAAATTAAACTCCCAAAAAGCAGAAGATCTATATTATAATGAGCGCTCCAATATACCGGCAAACACTATTTTAGTAGTAATTAAAAACAACGAATTTCCTGAACGGCCTTAATATATAACTGAAAACCAGCTTGGTTACTTCACAGTAAACAGTCTGCATTTCAAAAATAAATAATCCATTTATTTGATTAACACGTTTCGAATACTGAATCGGTAGAAAAACAGAGAGGGTGTCAAAATAACGGTTCCTGAACTTGGTCGAATGACCTAAATGGGGTAGCTTCCTAAGTCACAAGGTCATTTGGCGGCCTTTCAACAAACTTTACTGGATGGACGAGAATTGTGATGACAGTTGTAAAACCAGACAGTTTGACTTCAGGAAAGTCCTCGAAAACACCTACTGGTGGTATGTGATTGAGTATTTCACGAAAACGTAGGCTCTTGGGGGGAAGTCAGTGCCCAGTATTCGGAAGATTACCATGAAGAAGCATCCGGTTCAGAATATCTGAATAATATTCAGTATTCGGAAGATTATCATGAAGAAGCATTCGGCTGTTCAGAATATCTGAATAACATTCAGCTTATTGAGGTTAGTATTCTGGTGTGCCTGATTTATCAACAAATATATTGAATTTGCACATAGTACACAATGGTTTACTTGCACAATCTAGTTGTATGTATACCAAAATCTTAGTAGCTTTTAATCATTGACGTTATTCAAATGGTATTCAGCATAGCTGATGATCCCATAGTACCAGACTTAAACGTCAGTCGTTTACTGTGTTTCTGATGCAGAAAGCTAACATTGATTGCGTGTAGCCAAAAATAATGTGGGGCCAAGTGTTTGAATAAGATGGGATAGCACACTATTTGACTCAGAATATCTCCACTGGCTCCGCGAAATCGCTAGTTAGGTAAACAACGTACTTGAGGATTGTTATCATGGTTTTTCTTTCGTGCCGTTCTGGGATTAAAACATCCTTTTTTGTGTTAGCGGGAGCGACTGGTGCTTGTACTTCGCCTTCGTTCCATCGCAGAAAATAGCTTGGACTACCCAGTTAGAATTATTGTAGACAGTCCTTGTGACCGTCACAATGAGTAGTTTGCGAGTGAGCAGCTCACTCACAGACCCTAAAAGTAAAATAAGCTCTCCTGACTTTCTGCTAACGTGATATTGGAAATGGGGTCCAGATTCTTAGATGGTTGAAAACTCTGTGACTAGCGGGAGATGTAAAAGTATGTTTCTTGGTGATTTGCACAAAGTTTCAAGGCTAGTTAGTTTTACCAGTTAGTATTTGTTCATCAAACGTAATTTAGTCTAACTAATCATAACTTTCGGTTGTTGTAGTCTCAAAGTTTTCCTATTAGCCACAACTAAATTGGTTTTGTTGATATGACTCATAATATTTTGAGATTCATTATCACTTAGTGGTGGAAAACGTTTCATGCTTGAACTGGCTTACTAGCGGCCAAAACTTGCTATTTGGACGTTGGAAGCTGTTTAGTTAATAGAACTGGAAAAAGACTTCGTTGTTGTCGATCAAACTAGAAACCTAATAATGAACTTCAAGAAATCTGAAATTGTTCACACATTTTAGGTGATTGTCTTCACTGTTTTGCTTTGAGTTTTCAAGTCCATACTGAGGCACCAGTAATTCATGGGAATTGTCTTGCTTCTGCCACATTTGAGTGTAATTAGAATTACAACTCTACCCTCGGACTTGAACCTTGCTCTTGTTAATATTCCGAATCTCCATCCAAACCCTGTGCTATAGTGGGATATCAAAAACTTGTGATATAGCAGTTTCCTCTTAATTGCTTCTTGAAATATTTACAACCTAGTTTATCTTGTCTTAGATTCAACACTTTTCGAAACAAGCAACCAAATATAGGTCTGTGGAACGTAATTTAACGTCAACTACAAACCTTTGTATACATATCGTCATGACTAAACTTACCTATTCTGACTACTGCTTCAATATCCACAGTTTGCTGAAATCTTTTTTTTTCATGTCGAGATTTTTTTATTAAGTTGACTGCAACCCTTAATTCTAAGTTTGCTTATTTCGCTACCCAAACTTTTCAGTTCAAGGACACGTTAAGTCTTTTTAGTGCTTTCTCACATTCGCTAAATTTATTCATTTGGAAAAACCCTCATTCGGTTAATAGTGCTCAGAAACGAAGGAATTTGCATGGTTATTTATTTTCCTGAGACTATTAAAGTACTTAGTAGCATGTAATTGTGTTAGTTTCAGACTGAGACAAGTAATAATGTGACAAAGTATGATCAAAATGTGTACATAATTACACACTTAGAGATATGATCCAACAGGAAAAAGCGGAATATCATGAAAGTTAATATGCGTTAACAATGGGTATATCGTTTGTTTACATTAGTTTGATTTTACCTCATTTAATAAAATCACCATTGCTGTGTTTGAAAGATGGACATGAAACAAAAGGAGACAAAATACATCAAATAACAGAGTACATAAAGCTATCCTATTCACTAACGAAATCGTATATAAGTAGTACTTATCTTTCCTAGACACAGACTTTACTGGAGTTAAGAAATAATGTATTCATTATGAATCAACAGGTGCATACTATCTTGAGGAAAACAATGGGTAGATGCACCTGTTCCATTGCAAACGATTTAGAGCTTCGTTATTCAAAGTCTTAAGCGCTGGTTACGAAAATCACGCAGACATTAACCAGGCTTGAGTAAGTAGGTAGGTAGCAGTTTATGATTTTTAAAAAATCAGTAATTTCAGCCACATATGATGCTTATATCGCTCATAATACCACACTACACTAATGTCAGACTCTGATTGTTATACTATTACGAAAATTCAAAATGTAGAAAGAATTATTTTGACTAGAATATAAGAGTAAGGGTGGTGAGCGAATTTGTCCGTATAAAATCAAACATGAGTTCAAAACTTCAATATTCGCAAATATAGCGTGGATGGAATGCGCGTAGCAGAGAAAAGAAACAATAAGTGTCTGAGCAACTCCTGACGCCACAGCATTTATCTCGTTGAATGTTATTCCCGTAGTCTCATATCCACCCGCAACCACGATACCTATGGTGAAAGTCGGCTTTTATAAAGTTTACTTGTAATTAACAAGAATGATATCGTGTTTAAAACCTCCATGACAAGTATGAAGATAGGAGCACATATCCTAGGGGATTTATGTGCCCTTAAATTGTAAAATGCTACGAGAGCAGCAACTACGCGAATTAACATGTTGGAAGTTGCGGCCCATACGATATCTTGAGGCATTAAAATTAAGCTAGAACTTACAATAGTAATGCACAGACTCAGTGGAAGGGAAATATACATCAACGTTCATTCTAACACCCCTGCTTCGGTCTGGGCACCTGAGTGCTTCTTCATGAAGCACAGCCCACGCACAAATCATGTGACTTGTGTAGCACATATATATTCGGTGTCCCTTTGTACTAATATTTATGTTTAAATAAATGTGAATCAACATGAATAAAGTAACATACATTCTGAAAGTGCTACATTTTAATCTCGTATTTGAGTTCCTCTGATAGTGTCACTCCTAATTTCACTCTGGTGAAAAATTGTTACTTTTCAATTAAATGCCAGTAAAAACCATTTTTTTCTTATTCAATAAAGAATTTACCCCAACTAAATTACTATAATTCAAATTCCTAGTGTTATTTTGCTTAAAAAAACTGTTGGGGATGCTAGATCCCCAGAAATCGCTTAGTAAACGTCTTATTTTTGTAATTTTATTCTGGAAGCTTGAATTCCATTTTCGCGCCAAAAGCTTCCATTTCCCACTTGGTAGGACCTTATGTGCCATTGGTTCTCTCCCTCTTTTAATATGCTATTTTGTGACGTTTCCTATGGACATTTCTGTACTGTATACATTCTAATCTGAATTTTTCGTGTCCTTATTTTCGCTTTCCAAATTTTTTTACTTCTTGGATAACATCTTCAAACCCTAGTGTTTCCGATTACTGCTTATACTCTTACTACCTCTACCACTATGGGATTTGAATCGACAACTGCATCTCTGTGATATGGTATAGCAACTCGAACTGATGTACGTACATACGAAGTTTTACGTTGTTACTGACTGACTGTATATATACGCTTGAGCTGTCTGTTTGTTGTCGTTTGTGTTTCTGGCTGCTTGTGTACTATACTCCTCCCACATGTGAACCTGTACTTCTCCCTCTAGTTAGTGGGGCTGGGACGCATTGGAATAGTTAGCTTGTCTTTTCGTTGTGTTGTAGATCCTTCGTTCCGTTTGCCAATATAAGGTGATCCCGTGATGTCCTCAAACGTAGCGAAAACGAACACAGCAAGATTTGCAAAACGAAGTCAGTTCATTTTACTTCAAGCCTTTTCATTAGCTTTATGCTTTAGGAACTTGGTATGCTACTGAAATTGAATGCTTCCCATGATTTTTGTGTAAAATAGCAACTTAAACATAGTCTTATATTTATTTATTTATTTGAACACATAAATATTGGTACAAGAATGCGCCAAATATATATATATATATATATATATATATATATATATATATATATATATATATATATATATATATATATATATATATATAATATTCATTAACTTATTACAAAAGTATACCATTTATACTCCAAAATGATTTAATTAATGTAACTATCATCCGATGTTTTGTAGAAGGTGCAAGCTATGGCAAATAGAGCTGAAGAAGTTGCACGTCATTTATGGATGAGTGGATGGGAAGTGGTGAACTTTCATAGATTGCCTGCATGGTTAAAAGACAACGATATGTTGCTACATGGTCATCGACCTCAGTTAAACAATGTATGGGCTTGTTTAAAGTCCATATTTCGTATTCATACTGAAACTGGTAATATATGGACACATCTTATAGGTTTGTTTATTATACTAAACTTAATCGTCGCTCTTTTCATACAATTAGGTTGTTTCAGCTTTACCGTCATATTAATATTTGTACTTTCACAGCCAAGCAGCTTATTACAATGGCAGGATAAACTTGTTTACTCACTATTCATTGTTGGAGCAGTATGCTGTCTAGGATTCTCCTGTCTTTTTCATACAATATCTTGTCATTCTGAGCATGTGGCAAAAATTATGAACAAGTAATGAAAATGAAATATGCATATATACGTATATATTGATAAACACTGCTTTTATTATTATTTGACCTGATTACTCAGTAGAAATCCATTACTCAATGACTTGTCAATTGAGATATTTTGTGAATAAATAGTTCCTAGATCATAGTGTCATGTATTAAAGTAATAGTTTATAGAAGTTCACTGAAATAATCGCTTAACGGTCAATGTAATTGGCTGTCGTGTATTAGGTTGCAGATTCAAACCACGTTCGACATCCTTCACTTTGAACAACCAGGTAGTATCACCAGCATTCATATTAAATGTAACTCAAATGTGAGTAAATGAGATTGCACTTGGTTACCGAATTGCTTAGCAATGATCGTTGTAATAGTGTAAAACTGTCGGTTAATACAAATTAAAAAAAATAAAATGTTGAAATAAAAGCAGAAAGGTAAGTCCATACTTAAGTTTAAAATCTCAATGTATAAGTCTGTTTTCATATCTTATATTCTAGTAAATAAAATTTTATCAAACCTCGTAAACTACTTGACAGTTCATCTAAAAAACGTCATGTATTTGTATACATTACCCCTCCCAAAAAAAAACTTCCACCTTTTCACATCGGTACATACCACGCCTAACTAGCAGGTGCAAACTACCAAAGAAGTGAATTATACTCTCTTCCAAAGAACTTGGTGAAAGTACCTACATACATTCTTCATGCTACTGTAATTTCAGAAAAATCCGAATGACGTTCTTGTGCGTAGAATTTGCTATAAATGTTTATTTTAAAAAAAGGTTGCGCCAAGCGTATTACGTTACCAAGTAATAAAGGTTTGATTTGATCAAAGTGATTCATAGTACTAATTAACTGTGTATGTTACCATTTTATTTATAGACTGGATTATACTGGAATAGCTGTCTTAACAATAGGCTCCTTTGTGCCTTATTTATACTACTCATTTTACTGTGTATTTTGGGCTAAAGTGTTTTACTTGGCCTTAATCGGAGTGTTGGGTATTGCTGCAATTATTATTTCAATGTCATCGAAATTCGCCACTCCTCCTTATCGACCTTTAAGAGCGGGGGTTTTTATAGCTCTTGGTCTTTCAGGTGTAATCCCATCTGTACACTCTACCATTTTAAATGGATTTTGGCAATCAGTCAATCATCTTTCATTTGGTTGGCTTGTTTTGATGGGTGTACTTTATATCTCTGGTGCTTCCATTTATGCTGCACGTGTACCTGAACGATGTTTCCGCGGTCATTTCGATTTGTGGGTTAGTTAAGTCTCACTAGTTTTTTTTACATTAAACTAAATGATTTTTAATACACTTAATTTGTTACAAAAGCAGAAAATAAGTAGTCCATCTGAAAAATTACCCTTTTTGTGCACAATGTTCAGGTTTTTCAGTATTTGAGGTTAATTTTTTCTCTGGGTGTACATTTCCGTTTCTGTGACTATTGTCAACTGATACTTAATTTACCATGCTAAGTATAGTATGTATGCTTGTGTAAAGAATCGATCATTTAGAACGTAAAATATCATTAAGTTGTTAAGCGAAAATACCACTTTTCGTCAGTGTCATTTTGGGAATTACACAGTTACAATTATATACATTTTTTGTTTGATAAGTACAGTAGTTTTTAAAGTTATTTCTGAATAAAAGTAAATGTTATTCAAATCATTAACAAGAATGATCGCTTATTCTGTGAAAAGAAACTGTTCATAGGACTAGATAAGCTTTCAATGTAGATAACAAGTTGATTGATATTAATTAGAAAATAATATGTAATCACTGTAAAAGCATAAGAGGATTTTTAAAAATCGTATGTAATTATCTATTGCTTAATAAATGGCAGTTCATTTTTCCTGTGTTTCTAACCGAGCGGGATATGTGGCGATAACACTAATGACAATTATGGTACTCTATGTATGACAGTAATGCTCGCTTCTAGCCCCCCCCCGATCTTTTCCAAAAGACGGATCTTGTTATGTAGATTTATTAGACGAGACCAAAGAAGATGCTACATTCAAGCTAATTTAGCTATACATAAACTCAATGATTATTAATTAGAGTTTTACTAACTTTGCTATCATCAATGAATACCAATTATCGTGAAATAATCAGTACAGAAAGAACTCATTGAAAATCAAACAAACAGATATACTGAAAGTTGTTGAATAGGGTTTGCCACAAAGAGTTGAGATTAACTAAACGAGAATCACTTTGAATCGAAATGCAAAATTAAGATCGAATTTCTTACTCATAAGTTGTATGTGAGGATATAGCATTCCCAACAATCAACTAGAATTTGTATGTTACGGATTAACACGTAAAATGGTTGTTTAGACAAAATTGTGTTCCAAGATACAGTTAATCGTGTGTCAGAAATTTAAAAAAATCGAGTTCTCTGAAATTAATCCTTAATAGTGACTAGTATATCATTCAGGTTTGCTGCCAACGGTTTCATGTCGCTTAATTAGATTCAGCGCATTGTATTGGGAACTTCCTCAAAGTATTCGTCTTAAAACACTTGGATTCCATTGTTAATATGATACTTTAACCGTTCAGTGACATGATATGTTCATTATCACACTTTGTTACATTTTTAAATATAATGTCATGTTTATCATTATTATTAACCAATTTTGTATGCCGTTAATATGTTAACTTGTGCGAAACCAGAATACAGAGCCCAATTCTAATCACATTTTCTAGTTTGTGATCACTAAGAAGTGGAGATTCACTAAAACAGGATAAAAATGGATAGCAAATCATAAAACAATCTTCAACGATACTTTTCAAGAAATTTCATGTTAATTCACTCACTGGACATAAATGACAAGAATATATGGTACTTCTAACACACTCATAATATGATATACTCATTAATAGTCTGAATCGATAATATGGTTAATACGAATAAAACGAAAAGAAGTGATATTAATAATCACGACACATAATAACATGAACGGATAACTCGACGGATAAAAGTATAAAATATATAAAGTCATGAAGAAATGAACTATAAAATTCAAATAAGTAACGTTTGAGTAAAATAAATTCAATTTAGCAATCGGATGATGTATATTACTACTCCAAACAAAAAAAGTTGTACCTATTTGGGATTTCATTTGTGCATAGAGTTTTAGTCTGTTCACATCAGGTACTTTAATGATCATATTTGTAAATAAAAAACTACTAATTTTAAGTGGTTCTTCGTAGATTTCACAAGTGATTTTCGCTAAGAACTAACGTTAATATCTAAAACTAGGTACAGGGACGACCCACCTACATGATTTTTGGGACTGAGGACGAGCAATGTACCTTTAGATTACTGTTCAAATAGCTTGTTCCTCGCCGTGGAATAGGTGCTACTCTAGGCCTTATTTTTTTCAATGAACTAACTGATTATCAAAGCGTAAAATATGAATAATCACACATATCATTTCATTCACTTGGCTGCTATTAGTAAATCGCTTCTGATGAGTTCGCTGCTACCGTCCGTATTGGTTTTCTACCAGAAAGGAAACTTTAATTCCTACAACTCCAACTGATGCTAAAAACTTCAATATATATCATATGTCAAAGCGGTCGATTATGAGGGTGTATTTAGCTAGAGCATCGGACAGCCGCTAATTTTCATTATTAAAATATCTTTTAATTACCAAACATAAATAAGTGTAGCGTAAAAGGGATATATTTCAATTTTCCATGCTTTTAACACTTTATTGCGCCGTAACAATATTTAGTAAATCGATTATTATGGGGTGACTGTAGACTATAGAAAAGTACGATTATTTGATAGTGTTCATTTTAATAATGTGAGTTTATTATGCATAACGCGAATTTGTTAACGTTCACTAACAACTAAAATGGGTTTCGGATGCTTGTCATTACCCCATTTTAAAGTTGGTATATATAATATGCATTTGGAGCTCGTTTTAAATTTGTTTAACGTAGATTACTCTAATCGTTGAAAAAAATGTTTTTTTGTTTATATCAATCAGTCATAGTCAACGTAAAGTCTAGTACATATGTAAATTAGCCCAAATGTCCATACTATAGCACTGCAAGACGATGAGAATAGTAAAGGAATTGAGATAATTGTAATGGGAATCATTGTGAGAGCTAGACTCATATTCGTGTTTGTGCCGATGACAACGTCCGCACTTTATTTATAAGCTTTTGATAATCATTCGACACTTACTGTTCGAGTGTATTTTTAAAATTAAAATATTCAATAATTCGTTTTGCTATTTCTTGTTTACAAGTTCCAAAGTCATCAAATTTTCCATGTATTCGTCATTGCTGCAGCGTTTGTTCACTATCATGGAGTAGTCCAACTTTCTACCTATAGATTATCAGAAGGTGATTGTCGTCCATCGGATGAGATTCTTACCAAGGAAAATTTCAGTATACCCTCGTATATATTACATGTTATTAATAACCCTTGAGTAAAAGAATGCAAATCAATGTCGAAGCTTAACAAACGCTAATACATATCAGTCGATCAGGCAGTCTTAAGGGAGAATAAAACTCGTCAAATAATTGTTATTGCACGATTTTTTTTTATTGCTACCATTAGTTGCGCTGTTTCTCGACAAGCTATTGTGATATGCATACGTATGTTACAAAATGAACATTAATGAATTAACTAAGATACCTGAACAACTGGCAAGAATGTTCAATTATCATTAATCTGATTTGTTTTTCTAAAACATACAGAGATGTAAAATAAAACAAAACAATCTCTATCTGGATCAGTTAATTTTCAGCTAATTTTAAAACTTCAGATTTTAGAATTATGAATTTTGTTTTCTTTTTTTTTTAAAGAACCTATTTTAACTTAATCGTTTTTGTGGGGGGGACATTTAGTTCTTTAGTAATAAATGAATATATCTGTGCTCATTGTACTCAGGATACTAGTTTTTTTTACATATCAGTACTTTGATGTAAACTTGAGAAAAACAGGTGTATATTCAACTACCACAACTATTTTTACCAATAGTTAACTCACAGAACGTTTTTCTGTTCTACATTAGTGAACTATGATAAGCTTCTGTATGGTTGGTTTTATTTGTTAAGTAATTTTCACAAGTTATTTTCTGTTTACTAACGGTAAACATGTATAAATTGTGCAGTCTTCTTTCAGTTTATGTCATTCATATTACATCGAAATTCGTAATTATTTGGCGCATTTTAGAATCTATTTTTTGTATTTACGTGTTCACCTTTTTCTTTCAGTTAATGCCACTGACCGGTTTCTTATCTGAAATGTTATAAATTATTGTTGCATTACGAAACAATAATTTAAAAGACTATATATGTTAGAATAGTATATTGTATTTAGTGTGATATCTGTTCAGTATGATACTCTTGTATCAGTTTGGTTTGTTACTCATTTAACATAACATACTGCACTCGTTTGTTTACATTCAGCGTAAAATCTACTTTTTTAAAATTTTCACTCTTTAATGAGTGTAGTTGGTTTATAATTTGTCTTGTTTACGGGGTTTAAGTAAGATTGTCAATGTGATATCAGTCGTCTTCTTCCGTACGTCGTGAGAATTTAAGTTTTCCTATTGTAATTACCAGTTTTCCTCAGGTATATATATATATATATATATATATATATATATATATATATTTCTGACTGACTTCAGGAGACACTTCTGGAGTTCTAGTGAGAAGTCGTTACCAGTGGAGTTCAACCAGGTCTGTTGTGAGATAGGAACTCACTGAGGACAATGGTGTACGGTAGCGCAACTTCGTGGATTGGTTGAAGTTAGACATTAACACCGTTGGATGCCGGCTCAGTGGTCTAATGGTTAAGTGCTCGCGCGCGAAGCCAGTAGGTCCTGGATTCGAGCCCCGGGTGGTGCGGGGTTGTGGATGCGCACTGCTGAGGAGTCCCACACTAGGACGAAACGGCTGTCCAGTGCTTCCAGGTTTTCAATGGTGGTCTAGCTTCAACTGACTCATGATTTCAATCTGTGAAATTTCTAAAATCTCCACAAAACCCATTCTGATATATATATATATATATATATATATATTGACGGTAAATGTTATCGCTTGAGTAATGTAGTGATGCGACTTTTATTCACGTCGAGCTATAACAACTTTCTTTGTAAATTTACATCTTTAAGACTAGTAAGTAACAACGGGACTATTCAGACTTTGGATAATACCACATCATACTTTCAGGACTTATCTTTTTTATTTAGACTGATTTTTTCAAGTGAATTGCGATCCTATTCCTGATACTTAATAACTATCTTGTATACATTGGCTTCCTCTAGGTTGATGTCTTTAGTGGGACAATCGACTTTATTTATTTGAACACATAAATATTGGTACAAGAATGCGCCACACAAAACAATGTGAATTTAAAGGGAAGGAGAAAAAAAAGATTGATGTAAGGTGGTGTAATAATAATAATGGTAAAAATGGCGGAACAGAAAGGTACAATCAGAAGAAATCTTCCAGGTAAGGAAGATACAACCATCTTTTATGAAGAAAGTAAAAGGTCACAGCAGGATCGCCACTGGCTTCTATTCTGAGCCATATCTGATAACGTCTCTAGCCACTGTGTAGCATCATCGCTTGGACCCCAACCAGGGAGTCGTGAAGGACCAACAGAAGCCAGTCCTTTGCAGCTTTCATCCCACGACACCATGTCATGCACTGACCACCTCTCCGCTTCTTCCAACCAGTCCTAGAGTCGGCAAATATTGCACGACGTGGAATTCTCTGGGACGACATTCGTAGAACATGTCCAAGCCACCGAAGTCGGTGTTTCAAGATGGTGACACCAATTGCATTATCATCTCTGTGCCCGAACACACGATGCTGAAACTCTGCATTACTAACATGGTGTTGCCACTGGATGTCAGCAATCCTTCGGAGACAACGATGATCGAACACAGAGAGTCGTCTAACGTCCTCAACTCGGAGGCCAGGTTTCACAAGCATAGAGCAAAACTGCTCTCACCGACGCGTTGTAGATCCGACCTTTTACAGCCAGACTAACATCACAAAGGCGCCAAAGATGGCCCAGATTGGCATACGCCGCTCTGGCTTTCACTATACGTGCATTAATCTCATCACTCACACCTCCACCAGCACTTATGCAGCTACCCAGATACACGAACTTCTCGACTACTTCTGTCTGCTCACCATCCAGAGTGAGTACAGGGTTAGAATCTTTGCCAGTCTTGTAGAAGTATAATCGACTGGTCTAATCAGGTTGGTGAGTCTTTAAGTGTGATAGCTTTCCTAGACTGTAACTTAAGAAATGATAATATAATTAGAGGAGCGGCAGTTCCATTGTTTGGAGTCACAGGTCCACATACCACCCCATGCATTTCGTATTACTAGAGCTCATGCGAAAAAAACAAACCTCAGACCTGATTAATGAGTTCAGGACAACACAGTAGTTTTACTGATTGTCTGCATTAGGTCCTGAGCTAAGGATCCTCTGGCGGCCTGCTTGAATATCTGGGCTACCTGTTTGTGCCATCTGATTATTTCAACAAGTAAATACATAATAATTCAAATATAAATCGAGTCAACCTAGCTGGCATATCAATACAAAGGTTGAAGGCTTCATAGATATATTAAATTTATCGGTGATAACTGTCTGACTTAGTAGTATGCTTTTACATAGAATGCAACATAAATATAAAATGTGTAGAGCTGAAATGTCATTAAGGGATTAAGAAAAGTCACTGTAAGGTGATGAGTTATAATCAATATCTTCAAATCATACGAATGTGGTACATACAAAGGGGAAGGGGTTTAAAGACCAATTACGGACCAAAATGAACAGGGGCTAGATGTACTCTAAAATACATAAGTTTGTTTTTCTCGAGTTGGTCCTGAACGTTTGCACTGACAGATAAGTTCATTACTTGTTTTATCGCAGAGTATTACTTGATACATTTTATCTCTTTCCTTGTCAAGCCATATTTTCCTGCTTTTAGTCTTACTATAAGTGAATCTACTGTCATTACGACTTTGCTTTTCGATCTGTCAGTTTTATTTCGCTGTCCTGAAGCAGCATGTAAAACAGTACATACTTAGTGTTATTGATGTTCCAAACAAAACAGATCCAGACAACTGGATGACATGAGTGACGTAAATCTTGATAGCAAAGCTTGACTCAGTCCAATACAGAACACGAGGTAAAAACATGCTAAGAAACTATGCATGTAGATTACAAAAGAATGTATCAATTTTAAAGAAAACCATGTAAAATCTCGAAATAACAATCTAAACCATGTTGAAAATAACAATTACGAAAGATAACGTGATAGTGAAAAGTTGTTTTTATTCAAAGACCTAATATTCCGAAGAGTCACACTAGATAATCACGGACCATTAATAATATAAATATACATATAAAATGAAAAAGATAACAAACATAAAGTAAGTATGATAGTCTTCAGAAAAGCACTAATAAGAATAAAAATCATAGACTTTCGGTCCGAAAATATCGAGATGGTATGTATTGGGTATCATATAAATCAAATGAAAGATATATGATCAGTCAATAGACATACATATATCTCAAGTATGTAATCACTTGTAATAATAACTGTCATATTGTAAAAATATTTAATCATGTGTTAGGAAATATATCCAGACCGAACATTTTTAATCGATTTGAATCGAAATTCAGTCCAACAGGTTTACAATCGCCTGTAGATAGACGGTAGTCGGCAAGTTTAACTAAACCGTGGTAGTGAACTAAAGCTGCAACCACCGCGAACACATGAAATATTTGGTGACTTTGAAACTAAACAGATAAACATGAATTAAAGATTGGAAAATGAACTTATGAGATTGTATTGAATTTATTGAAGGAACATACAACAATCTATTGAAGTTAGTGTTTAAACGACGCTGAAAGAGATGACTTAGGTAGTCAACTTTTCTAATCACTTCTCGAGGTTAGGTTTATTCCCAGTGCTACAATACTAATGAGTGGATAATGGTGGCTCAATAGTAAGTTTTGGACTTCTATCCGTAAGCTTAGACCCCGCTCCATGTACTTCAGTTTGTGTAACCAATTAGCATCACTAGTCTTCACACCTAGGTGCAGCTCTACACCTGGTCAGTGAGATAATAAAATAAATGTATGGATAGTATTGTCTTGTAACCTCATATGTGCATGTGGTTTGTTTCCGCTCAATAAGAAATCCATAAGAGAATACAATTACACGAGAAATCAAACAACTTGGAGATTCACACCTATATTGTATACCAACCATGTCGAAATACTACCGACTTGTGATGGCAATTCATTTTATTCTCTAGTCATTATTCAAAGCTTTGTGATACCGTACACTAATTTTCCTGATAAGATTTAATTTGTAAAAGTGGTTCAAATAAACAAAATGAATCTATGTAGATGGATGCTAATTTTCAAATTCATAAGTTTAGTTGTTTATTCTCTGAAGAAGTGACTTACACTGAGTCACGAAACGTCAGAAAATTTAAAATATATTGTTTTTTATTTAGAATGACCTACCGAATACTCAACTTATTTGAAGTTATGAAGTCAAATCTTGGTAGTGTCAACTATATTACTTAAACGGATTAGGTTTTAAATGAATTTTATTATGGTCGCTAGAAAGCCTTAATAAAAAAGCAGACAACCCATAAAATTTAAGATGTCTTAGTTTCGTGACTTTCCTTCTATAGTCAAGATTGAACTTTTTCAGATCAGTAAGATGCATTCTAATCTAAGTATTTTCCAATCAGTTATCCTTGATGCAAACAGGCAACTTCATTCATTCCTGATTTTGAGAATCACTGATTTTCTAATCAGTAGCCGGATAAACATGCCAAACTTGGGATCAAAAGAATCTCAGAGGTTTCCTAGTTGTAATTTTCCTACATCCAGTAAGGCGTGAAAATTTCATGTTCGTACTACAGCATAGTCAGAGTTTAACTGTGAGATTAAGGAGTGAGTTTTCTACTGACCCCTTCTAGCAACGACTAACAGCAATACTTCCTATTTGTGTCTATGTTGTGGTGAGGTGTGTCTAGGTTAGAGAATCTCTTCATGTTTAGAAATGCTATTTGTCAAGAATAAACTTGACGGAGTCCAGTTGCGACAACTAGTCACTATCGTCTGTCCGAAAAATAGACAGTATTTCAGTCTGACGTATGCAAATGTTGCATTTCATTTACTAGTTAAGTGTGTACATGAAGCATTCTGAACTAATTCATTTAGCGTTCATACTATATAAAACGACATACACAAAACAACAGTAGATTATGTACATCAAGGAATTTTCATGCAATCAACAGGACGTTTATAATGTGCTTAACAAAAATTGATGCCGAAAAACATAGCACTATGGGATAAAACTATCAACAAAACACTCAAATCTCAATATCCAGAAGTTACTTGTATTTTAGTTCCTATCAGTGTTCTGTTCAGGAAAAAACAAAAAGAGATAATT